TGCTGAGCGAGGCTTGTGTCTGCCACTTCTTCGGACTGGCTTTCTGCAGTTTTTCTGCAGAGCTGCGGCATTTACCCGGTGAAAGGGTGTTTTGAGGCTCCACAGCAAGCCATAGTTTGGTTTGGCCTCGCATATCAACCTTTCCAAAACAGTACTTTCAATGCTCCACTTGCTTGGCAGAAGTTTCAACTCCGCAGTTTCAAAAATCTTGCAGCATCCTGCCTGGTATCCCCGCAGATGCCAGCAGGGATCTGCAGTGTTGTTCCGGTCCCAGTTCCGCAAAAGAAGTGCCAACCGCGCGAGGTTTTGCTACAGCGACATCCGAGTCTTGAAGCGTTGCCTGTTTGTTCATTTTGCTGCCATCGTGCGATCTGCTCATCCTCAACAGGCTGGTTGTATGTAGTTGTATGTAGTTGTAGTCTTTCAGCCCCTGGGTTCGCACGTTGCAGCATGAACCTGGAGAGCAGCGTGCTAGCGTGTGCTAGCTGTGTTGGCAGCCATGTCAGAGCGTTTTCACTTCAGCAGGAGACTTAACGGACTCAACGCTGGAAGTCAACATTACCTCCAGCCTGGCATTTCCAGGCCCAATTCACGATTTGCTGGAATCTCGGTAGATGTGGTCGATCTCGTTCCGGCTCAGCCTGGCTCAAGAGCAAGATTGCTGTAGTCACCTTCCTCTCACCTACCGCCAATCCACCTTGGATTGACATTGCCATGAAGCCCTCGTGCGTTGTGGCCTTCTTGTTTGCTTTGGCTTTCAAGGCCGGTGTGTCTGCCGACACCCTTCGGGTCGACGCCGGAACAGACGTCGCGGATGCCGGAGGAACGGAAACCGCGGAAGCGTGCCAGTCTGGGAGCCTGATCCAACGCCTGAGCTCATCCCATAAGGTGCTGTCCGACACGGAGGCGATGCCAGCGGAGTCCCTCAAGACACCAGAGATCAAGGAGAAGAAGAAGAAGAAGATGATGAAGAAGCAAAAGTCGGACAAGAAACACGCGGATTTCATGGCCTTTCTCGCCGAGGCAAAAAAGGATGGGCCTGGGCATCCCGAGGGCTCTGAGTGCGAGCCGGCAGGAGCTCTGCCTGCGTCACGCGTTGTGTGCGACTTTCGCATGCCGCCTCGGCCCAGTTCCTTTTGACTTGCTGCGCGTTGCACGTACCCCTGCCAGGAGCTCCGCTATTGGGCGAGAACAGGGCAAAGTTCGAGCTGCTTTCGCAGAAGGTCTCCGCCCTCGACCTGGACCCTGTCCTCGCCCGCCTTGTCAAGAAGAACGATTACGCGCCCAAGCTTGCGAAGAGGGCCGCTGATGAGTACCGGAAGTTCCTTGTCTTGATGGGCATGGGGGAGACACCGATCGCCTCCCATATGGTTCTCGACGCCTGGCATTCACACATCATGCCGCCAGTCCGAAATATTGGCGCACTTCTTGTTGTTTCTAGCACTTTCTAGCCGTCGCCAGGTGGGTGGCTCCATGTTTCAGTGGGAGTCGGGGCTCTGGTGTTTCTCCTGCTAGCAGGTGCCTGTAATTTCGCGCGAGACCAGGTACACGAAGATGTACGAGCGGGACTGCCAGGAGGTATTTGGCCACCAGCTGGAACATGACCCCCTTGGTCAGCAATTGGAAGAAAGTCGCCTGAAGCAGACGCAGCAGCAGATCTGTGATTACTTCGGCATGGTTGACCGACTTGTGTGGTCGGCAGCAAAGCCAGCTGCTCTCTCGGAGAGCAGGGACCCTTCTGACACAGCGGCCATCATGGATCAGTGGCTGGACCACATCAACGAGGAGGTTGAACTCCGCAAAGGTCTCCTGGCAGAGAACGTCCACGTGATGGTGGCTTCACAGCACACCAACACGGCCGTGACGCACACGGGCCTCGAGAACGCTCTGTCCTTCTTCCACCACTACAGCCATGCCACCAGAGCCCGGAAGTTCCTGTCCGTGGACCACGAGGCCTTTGCCATCGAGATTGAGAAGGGCAAGCGCATGGGGGCCGACATCTTCGAGGTGGACTCCGAGGGGAAGATTCTGGACGTGAAGATCTTCATGGCCACCCTTTTCAAGGACGTAGACGACCTCAACGACGCAGGGCTCGAGAATCTCACCTTGCACTACACGGGCAACGGATCCATGGCCAGGAACACTTACCCCCTACAAGCCAGGATCTCAGTGGTGCTGTAGTGCAGAGTGTGAGACTGCAGCGAGTAGGAGCGCGTAACGGCGTAGCAGGGAAACGTAAGCCATCGTAAGCATAGCTAGAGCCCTTGAAGCTTGTGAAGGCTTCGCTGGAAGCTTCGCGCTGTCGGCTAGCGCAGATTTACAGTGAGAGAACGCTTAGGCGATGGTCCAAGTCGGGGAGGCAGGCGTCGCTTTGACCAAAGCCGCCATGGAGACGTGGATGCTCAATTTCAACAACAACGCAGCTGAGAAGCACGACCTTCTGGCGGCCGACGTGCGCCTGACGCATATGTCGCAAGTGACCGATGCGCCTGAAACTCGTGACGGGAAGGCTGAAGTGATAGACTTCTTCCGCGACTTCGAAAATGCCACTGGGGCTCGAGAGTTCCTTTCCGTGGACGGAGGCGCCTTCATGATCGAGAACAAGGGCAATAACCTCCACCCCCGGATGGGACTCTTGATTTTCGAGGTGAACCCCGAAGGCAAGATCCAAGACATCAAGATTTGGGTGGCCTCCCTGCAGGGGGACAGAGACGACTTGAGCGACAGCGGCCTGACTAGCGTCGCGCCGTCGCTACTGGACTCACGCGGAGAGGGGGCCTCGGTTTCGGGTGCCTTGGCCAGCCGCTTGCTGTATTTTTTTTTTTTTTTTCCGAGGGTGCTTCGTGTAGAGGCTTGGCGCTGTCTTGCGCATTCTTGCGGTCAGACTTGCTGTAGACTTGCGTTCAGAGTTCGGAGCTCCAGGCGCGACTGAGCCTGCTGTGTGCCAGCAATCCGGCAGCCGACCATCGCTGCAGCAGATGCAGCGGTTCAACGCGTCGGTTGAAAAGGTGAAAGCGCTGGACCTGGATGCTGTCGTGGCAGTTCTCGTGAAGAAGGACGGCTACTCGCCCACGAAGGCAGCAGAGCTCGCGGAGGAATACCGCAAGTACCTGGCCCTGGTGAGCATCGGTCTCAGCCCCGTGCCGTCGAAGAAGGTGGATGATGCATGGCACGCCCACATCCTAAACACCAAAAAGTACCAGGCAGACACCCGCGCTCTGTTGGGCCACTTCCTCCATCACGAGCCGGCGAACCTTCTCCTGGAGCAGCAGGGCCTCAAAGAGCAGAAATCGTCCATGGACAACATGTTCTTGCGCACCAAGATGCAGCTCTGCGACTACTATGGCCGCGTCGATGAAGCGGCGTGGTCCAAGGAAGACGTTGCTCTTTGCGCTTCTCGCAGCTGCAAATCTGGCAACCTTTTTTGTGTGTTTTTTTTCTGTTTGTGAGTTCCTTTTTTGACAGAATCCGGTAGACTTGGTTGCTTTGCGTCCGTGTCACCTGAGCTATCCCAGTTGTGCGGGTGCTCCTGCGGTTGCGGTTGCAGCTGTGGATGCGCATGCTCATGTGGGTGTTGTTGCTGAGCGAGGCTTGTGTCTGCCACTTCTTCGGACTGGCTTTCTGCAGTTTTTCTGCAGAGCTGCGGCATTTACCCGGTGAAAGGGTGTTTTGAGGCTCCACAGCAAGCCATAGTTTGGTTTGGCCTCGCATATCAACCTTTCCAAAACAGTACTTTCAATGCTCCACTTGCTTGGCAGAAGTTTCAACTCCGCAGTTTCAAAAATCTTGCAGCATCCTGCCTGGTATCCCCGCAGATGCCAGCAGGGATCTGCAGTGTTGTTCCGGTCCCAGTTCCGCAAAAGAAGTGCCAACCGCGCGAGGTTTTGCTACAGCGACATCCGAGTCTTGAAGCGTTGCCTGTTTGTTCATTTTGCTGCCATCGTGCGATCTGCTCATCCTCAACAGGCTGGTTGTATGTAGTTGTATGTAGTTGTAGTCTTTCAGCCCCTGGGTTCGCACGTTGCAGCATGAACCTGGAGAGCAGCATGCTAGCGTGTGCTAGCTGTGTTGGCAGCCATGTCAGAGCGTTTTCACTTCAGCAGGAGACTTAACGGACTCAACGCTGGAAGTCAACATTACCTCCAGCCTGGCATTTCCAGGCCCAATTCACGATTTGCTGGAATCTCGGTAGATGTGGTCGATCTCGTTCCGGCTTAGCCTGGCTCAAGAGCAAGATTGCTGTAGTCACCTTCCTCTCACCTACCGCCAGTCCACCTTGGATTGACATTGCCATGAAGCCCTCGTGCGTTGTGGCCTTCTTGTTTGCTTTGGCTTTCAAGGCCGGTGTGTCTGCCGACACCCTTCGGGTCGACGCCGGAACAGACGTCGCGGATGCCGGAGGAACGGAAACCGCGGAAGCGTGCCAGTCTGGGAGCCTGATCCAACGCCTGAGCTCATCCCATAAGGTGCTGTCCGACACGGAGGCGATGCCAGCGGAGTCCCTCAAGACACCAGAGATCAAGGAGAAGAAGAAGAAGAAGAAGAAGATGATGAAGAAGCAAAAGTCGGACAAGAAACACGCGGATTTCATGGCCTTTCTCGCCGAGGCAAAAAAGGATGGGCCTGGGCATCCCGAGGGCTCTGAGTGCGAGCCGGCAGGAGCTCTGCCTGCGTCACGCGTTGTGTGCGACTTTCTGACTTTCGCATGCCGCCTCGGCCCAGTTCCTTTTGACTTGCTGCGCGTTGCACGTACCCCTGCCAGGAGCTCCGCTATTGGGCGAGAACAGGGCAAAGTTCGAGCTGCTTTCGCAGAAGGTCTCCGCCCTCGACCTGGACCCTGTCCTCGCCCGCCTTGTCAAGAAGAACGATTACGCGCCCAAGCTTGCGAAGAGGGCCGCTGATGAGTACCGGAAGTTCCTTGTCTTGATGGGCATGGGGGAGACACCGATCGCCTCCCATATGGTTCTCGACGCCTGGCATTCACACATCATGCCGCCAGTCCGAAATATTGGCGCACTTTTTGTTGTTTCTAGCACTTTCTAGCCGTCGCCAGGTGGGTGGCTCCATGTTTCAGTGGGAGTCGGGGCTCTGGTGTTTCTCCTGCTAGCAGGTGCCTGTAATTTCGCGCGAGACCAGGTACACGAAGATGTACGAGCGGGACTGCCAGGAGGTATTTGGCCACCAGCTGGAGCATGACCCCCTTGGTCAGCAATTGGAAGAAAGTCGCCTGAAGCAGACGCAGCAGCAGATCTGTGATTACTTCGGCATGGTTGACCGACTTGTGTGGTCGGCAGCAAAGCCAGCTGCTCTCTCGGAGAGCACGGACCCTTCTGACACAGCGGCCATCATGGATCAGTGGCTGGACCACATCAACGAGGAGGTTGAACTCCGCAAAGGTCTCCTGGCAGAGAACGTCCACGTGATGGTGGCTTCACAGCACACCAACACGGCCGTGACGCACACGGGCCTCGAGAACGCTCTGTCCTTCTTCCACCACTACAGCCATGCCACCAGAGCCCGGAAGTTCCTGTCCGTGGACCACGAGGCCTTTGCCATCGAGATTGAGAAGGGCAAGCGCATGGGGGCCGACATCTTCGAGGTGGACTCCGAGGGGAAGATTCTGGACGTGAAGATCTTCATGGCCACCCTTTTCAAGGACGTAGACGACCTCAACGACGCAGGGCTCGAGAATCTCACCTTGCACTACACGGGCAACGGATCCATGGCCAGGAACACTTACCCCCTACAAGCCAGGATCTCAGTGGTGCTGTAGCGCAGAGTGCGACACGTAACGGCGTAGCAGGGAAACGTAAGCCATCGTAAGCATAGCTAGAGCCCTTGAAGCTTGTGAAGGCTTCGCTGGAAGCTTCGCGCTGTCGGCTAGCGCAGATTTGCAGTGAGAGAACGCTTAGGCGATGGTCCAAGTCGGGGAGGCAGGCGTCGCTTTGACCAAAGCCGCCATGGAGACGTGGATGCTCAATTTCAACAACAACGCAGCTGAGAAGCACGACCTTCTGGCGGCCGACGTGCGCCTGACGCATATGTCGCAAGTGACCGATGCGCCTGAAACTCGTGACGGGAAGGCTGAAGTGATAGACTTCTTCCGCGACTTCGAAAATGCCACTGGGGCTCGAGAGTTCCTTTCCGTGGACGGAGGCGCCTTCATGATCGAGAACAAGGGCAATAACCTCCACCCCCGGATGGGACTCTTGATTTTCGAGGTGAACCCCGAAGGCAAGATCCAAGACATCAAGATTTGGGTGGCCTCCCTGCAGGGGGACAGAGACGACTTGAGCGACAGCGGCCTGACTAGCGTCGCGCCGTCGCTACTGGACTCACGCGGAGAGGGGGCCTCGGTTTCGGGTGCCTTGGCCAGCCGCTTGCTGTATTTATTTTTTTTTTTTTCCGAGGGTGCTTCGTGTAGAGGCTTGGCGCTGTCTTGCGCATTCTTGCGGTCAGACTTGCTGTAGACTTGCGTTCAGAGTTCGGAGCTCCAGGCGCGACTGAGCCTGCTGTGTGCCAGCAATCCGGCAGCCGACCATCGCTGCAGCAGATGCAGCGGTTCAACGCGTCGGTTGAAAAGGTGAAAGCGCTGGACCTGGATGCTGTCGTGGCAGTTCTCGTGAAGAAGGACGGCTACTCGCCCACGAAGGCAGCAGAGCTCGCGGAGGAATACCGCAAGTACCTGGCCCTGGTGAGCATCGGTCTCAGCCCCGTGCCGTCGAAGAAGGTGGATGATGCATGGCACGCCCACATCCTAAACACCAAAAAGTACCAGGCAGACACCCGCGCTCTGTTGGGCCACTTCCTCCATCACGAGCCGGCGAACCTTCTCCTGGAGCAGCAGGGCCTCAAAGAGCAGAAATCGTCCATGGACAACATGTTCTTGCGCACCAAGATGCAGCTCTGCGACTACTATGGCCGCGTCGATGAAGCGGCGTGGTCCAAGGAAGACGTTGCTCTTTGCGCTTCTCGCAGCTGCAAATCTGGCAACCTTTTTTGCGTTTTTTTTTCTGTTTGTGAGTTCCTTTTTTGACAGAATCCGGTAGACTTGGTTGCTTTGCGTCCGTGTCACCTGAGCTATCCCAGTTGTGCGGGTGCTCCTGCGGTTGCGGTTGCAGCTGTGGATGCGCATGCTCATGTGGGTGTTGTTGCTGAGCGAGGCTTGTGTCTGCCACTTCTTCGGACTGGCTTTCTGCAGTTTTTCTGCAGAGCTGCGGCATTTACCCGGTGAAAGGGTGTTTTGAGGCTCCACAGCAAGCCATAGTTTGGTTTGGCCTCGCATATCAACCTTTCAAAAACAGTACTTTCAATGCTCCACTTGCTTGGCAGAAGTTTCAACTCCGCAGTTTCAAAAATCTTGCAGCATCCTGCCTGGCATCCCCGCAGATGCCAGCAGGGATCTGCAGTGTTGTTCCGGTCCCAGTTCCGCAAAAGAAGTGCCAACCGCGCGAGGTTTTGCTACAGCGACATCCGAGTCTTGAAGCATTGCCTGTTGGTTCATCTTGCTGCCATCGTGCGATCTGCTCATCCTCAACAGGCTGGTTGTATGTAGTTGTATGTAGTTGTGGGCATGGTCTTTTGGGCGGGCGGGCCCGTGGGCCCGTGGCCCGTGGGCCCGTGGGCCCGTGGGCCCGTGGGCCCGTGAGCCCGTGAGCCCGTGCACGGGCCTGGACCTTGCCAAAACAAAACCTTGAAACACTAAGTCTTGAAACAAAGCCCCGCCCGCCTTGAAATACTAAGTCGTGAAATCCAAAGAATCCTAAAGCCTAACCCTGAAGCCTACAATCTTAAAAGCCTAAAACCTCAACTCTACTCCTAAGACTGTGAGCCTCTGGTATGTGGCAATGCAAGACTATTACAAGCTTTGGCATCATCGAGTGTAAATGGAACATGTCAGGCTTGCGTTTCCTAAGCTGCGGGGGTTCAGGACAAGGCGTTGGAAGAGTTACTTGATCCGAAGCAAACGCAAACCCAAGGTCTTGAAGCCTTGTTCTCAAAACCTAAGCCCTACTCAAACCAAGATCTTGAAACCTATAGCCACTAAACCTTAACCCTTAAACTAACCCTGCAAATCCTAAAGTCCCCAAGCCCCTACTTCGCAAAAGCTTTCTTTAAAGCTCTAATCACCGCAGTCGCTAGCCAAAGACCCACCTCTCCCTTGGAATACTAAATCTTGTAACAAAGCTCTAACCCCCCTTGAAATACTGAGCAAAGAATCCTAAAGCCTAACCCTGAAGCCTGCAATCTTAAAAGCCTACAGCCTCAACTCTACTCCTAAGAATGTGAGCCTCTGGCATGTGGCACTGCAATACTATTACAAGCTCTGGCATCATTGCGTGTAGATGGAACATGTCAAGCTTGCGTTTTCCAAGCTGCGGGGGCTAAGGACAAGGCGAAATCCTAAATTCCCCAAGCCCCTACTTCGCAAAGCTTCTTTCAAGCTCTAATCACCGCAGTCGCTAGCCAAAGACCCACCTCTCCCTTTTGGAATACTAAATCTTGAAACAAAGCCCTAACCCCCCTTGAAATACTAAGCAAAGAATCCTAAAGCCTAACCCTGAAGCCTGCAATCTTAAAAGCCTACAGCCTCAACTCTACTCCTAAGAATGTGAGCCTCTGGCATGTGGCACTGCAATACTATTACAAGCTCTGGCATCATTGCGTGTAGATGGAACATGTCAAGCTTGCGTTTTCCAAGCTGCGGGGGCTAAGGACAAGGCGAAATCCTAAATTCCCCAAGCCCCTACTTCGCAAAGCTTCTTTCAAGCTCTAATCACCGCAGTCGCTAGCCAAAGACCCACCTCTCCCTTTTGGAATACTAAATCTTGAAACAAAGCCCTAACCCCCCTTGAAATACTAAGCAATCCTAAAGCCTAACCCTGAAGCCTGCAATCTTAAAAGCCTACAGCCTCAACTCTACTCCTAAGAATGTGAGCCTCCTGGCATGTGGCACTGCAATACTATTACAAGCTCTGGCATCATTGCGTGTAGATGGAACGTGTCAAGCTTGCGTTTTCTAAGCTGCGGGGGTTAAGGGCAAGGCGTTGGAAGATTTATACTTGATCCGAAGCAAACGCAAAACCCAAGGTTGTTCTCAAAACCTAAGCCCTACTCAAACCAAGATCCTGAAACCTATAGCCACAAAACCTTAACCCTTAAATTCAACCCTAAAACCCTAACCCTGCAAATCCTAAAGTCCCCAAGCCCCTACTTCGCAAAGCTTCTTTAAAACTCTAATCACCGCAGTTGCTAGCGCAAAACCCACCTCTCCTTTGAAATACTAAATCTTGAACAAAGCCCTAACCCCCTTGAAATACTAAGTCGTGAAATCCAAAGAATCCTAAAGCCTAACCTGAAGCCTGCAATCTTAAACGCCTAAAGCCTCAACTCTACTCCTAAGAACGTGAGCCTCTGGTATGTGGCAATGCAAGACTGTTACAAGCTCTGGCAACATCGCGTGTAAATGGAACATGTCAGGCTTGCGTTTCCTAAGGACAAGGCGTTGGAAGATTTACTTGATCCGAAGCAAACGCAAACCCAAGGTCTTGAAGCCTTGTTCTCAAAACCTAAGCCCTATTCAAGCCAAGATCCCAAGCTTCTGGAGCCTTAGAACGTTATAAACCCGCAATTCCGGGCGCTTTGACTGACTGCGGCAGTTTTGTTTGTATGAGCCATGATGTGGACATGCGTCCGAGCCCATGCTACATCCGACGCCATAGCGGTCCCACAGTGTCTCCCGGACGATACTCAGCCTAAACTGTAAACCTTTCATCCTAAACCCTATAGCCCTCATCCCCGAACCCGAAAGACCTTCTTCAAAGCTGTAATCACCGCAACAGCACCGATTTTCTCCCCAAACCCGAACGCTTTCTAAGTCTGGGTATGGGTTTGAGGCGTTCTCGAGCAGGGTTTTCGCGAAGTTGCCTTGTCAAGCGACCTTTGTGACAATTTGAGAGTGGTAGACGACAAGGTGGGGAGCGGGATTAAACCGGCAGCAAAGATTTTGGGTGGTCAGGATAGCGTAGAGCGATAGGCAGAAGTTATAATTGATAGTAACGACATTACAAGCCTGGGCTGTGGGCCCGTGGGCCCGTGGGGCCCGTGGGCCCGTGGGCCCGTGGCCCGTGGGCCCGTGGGCCCGTTGATCTTCTTTAAAGAGGCCTGCCCGTGGAACAGGGTATTCTCGTAGTTGTAGTCTTTCAGCCCCTGGGTTCGCACGTTGCAGCATGAACCTGGAGAGCAGCGTGCTAGCGTGTGCTAGCTGTGTTGGCAGCCATGTCAGAGTGTTTTCACTTCAGCAGGGGACTTAACGGACTCAACGCTGGAAGTCAACATTACCTCCAGCCTGGCAATTCCAGGGCCCAATTCACGATTTGCGCTGGAACCTCGGTAGATGTGATCGATCTCGTTCCGGCTCAGCCTGGCTCAAGAGCAAGATTGCTGTAGTCACCTTCCTCTCACCTACCGCCAATCCACCTTGGATTGACATTGCCATGAAGCCCGCGTGCGTTGTGGCTTTCTTGTTTGCTTTGGCTTTCAAGGCCGGGGTGTCTGCCGACACCCTTCGGGTCGACGCCGGAACAGACGTCGCGGATGCCGGAGGAGCGGAAACCGCGGAAGCGTGCCAGTCTGGGAGCCTGATCCAACGCCTGAGCTCATCCCATAAGGTGCTGTCCGACACGGAGGCGATGCCAGCGGAGTCCCTCAAGAAGACACCAGAGATCAAGGAGAAGAAGAAGAAGATGATGAAGAAGCAAAAGTCGGACAAGAAACACTCGGATTTCATGGCCTTTCTCGCCGAGGCAAAAAAGGATGGGCCTGGGCACCCTGAGGGCTCTGAGTGCGAGCCGGCAGGAGCCCTGCCTGCGTCACGCGTTGTGTGCGACTTTCGCATGCCGCCTCGGCCCAGTTCCTTTTGACTTGCTGCCCGTTGCACGTACCCCTGCCAGGAGCTCCGCTATTGGGCGAGAACAGGGCAAAGTTCGAGCTGCTTTCGCAAAAGGTCTCCGCCCTCGACCTGGACCCTGTCCTCGCCCGCCTTGTCAAGAAGAACGATTACGCGCCCAAGCTTGCGAAGAGGGCCGCTGATGAGTACCGGAAGTTCCTTGTCTTGATGGGCATGGGGGAGACACCGATCGCCTCCCATATGGTTCTCGACGCCTGGCATTCACACATCATGCCGCCAGTCCGAAATATTGGTGCGCTTCTTGTTGTTTCTAGCACTTTCTAGCCGTCGCCAGGTGGGTGGCTCCATGTTTCAGTGGGAGTCGGGGCTCTGGTGTTTCTCCTGCTAGCAGGTGCCTGTAATTTCGCGCGAGACCAGGTACACGAAGATGTACGAGCGGGACTGCCAGGAGGTATTTGGCCACCAGCTGGAACATGACCCCCTTGGTCAGCAATTGGAAGAAAGTCGCCTGAAGCAGACGCAGCAGCAGATCTGTGATTACTTCGGCATGGTTGACCGACTTGTGTGGTCGGCAGCAAAGCCAGCTGCTCTCTCGGAGAGCAGGGACCCTTCTGACACAGCGGCCATCATGGATCAGTGGCTGGACCACATCAACGAGGAGGTTGAACTCCGCAAAGGTCTCCTGGCAGAGAACGTCCACGTGATGGTGGCTTCGCAGCACACCAACACGGCCGTGACGCACACGGGCCTCGAGAACGCTCTGTCCTTCTTCCACCACTACAGCCATGCCACCAGAGCCCGGAAGTTCCTGTCCGTGGACCACGAGGCCTTTGCCATCGAGATTGAGAAGGGCAAGCGCATGGGGGCCGACATCTTCGAGGTGGACTCCGAGGGGAAGATTCTGGACGTGAAGATCTTCATGGCCACCCTTTTCAAGGACGTAGACGACCTCAACGACGCAGGGCTCGAGAATCTCACCTTGCACTACACGGGCAACGGATCCATGGCCAGGAACACTTACCCCCTACAAGCCAGGATCTCAGTGGTGCTGTAGTGCAGAGTGTGAGACTGCAGCGAGTAGGAGCGCGTAACGGCGTAGCAGGGAAACGTAAGCCATCGTAAGCATAGCTAGAGCCCTTGAAGCTTGTGAAGGCTTCGCTGGAAGCTTCGCGCTGTCGGCTAGCGCAGATTTACAGTGAGAGAACGCTTAGGCGATGGTCCAAGTCGGGGAGGCAGGCGTCGCTTTGACCAAAGCCGCCATGGAGACGTGGATGCTCAATTTCAACAACAACGCAGCTGAGAAGCACGACCTTCTGGCGGCCGACGTGCGCCTGACGCATATGTCGCAAGTGACCGATGCGCCTGAAACTCGTGACGGGAAGGCTGAAGTGATAGACTTCTTCCGCGACTTCGAAAATGCCACTGGGGCTCGAGAGTTCCTTTCCGTGGACGGAGGCGCCTTCATGATCGAGAACAAGGGCAATCACCTCCACCCCCGGATGGGACTCTTGATTTTCGAGGTGAACCCCGAAGGCAAGATCCAAGACATCAAGATTTGGGTGGCCTCCCTGCAGGGGGACAGAGACGACTTGAGCGACAGCGGCCTGACTAGCGTCGCGCCGTCGCTACTGGACTCACGCGGAGAGGGGGCCTCGGTTTCGGGTGCCTTGGCCAGCCGCTTGCTGTATTTTTTTTTTTTTTTTCCGAGGGTGCTTCGTGTAGAGGCTTGGCGCTGTCTTGCGCATTCTTGCGGTCAGACTTGCTGTAGACTTGCGTTCAGAGTTCGGAGCTCCAGGCGCGACTGAGCCTGCTGTGTGCCAGCAATCCGGCAGCCGACCATCGCTGCAGCAGATGCAGCGGTTCAACGCGTCGGTTGAAAAGGTGAAAGCGCTGGACCTGGATGCTGTCGTGGCAGTTCTCGTGAAGAAGGACGGCTACTCGCCCACGAAGGCAGCAGAGCTCGCGGAGGAATACCGCAAGTACCTGGCCCTGGTGAGCATCGGTCTCAGCCCCGTGCCGTCGAAGAAGGTGGATGATGCATGGCACGCCCACATCCTAAACACCAAAAAGTACCAGGCAGACACCCGCGCTCTGTTGGGCCACTTCCTCCATCACGAGCCGGCGAACCTTCTCTTGGAGCAGCAGGGCCTCAAAGAGCAGAAATCGTCCATGGACAACATGTTCTTGCGCACCAAGATGCAGCTCTGCGACTACTATGGCCGCGTCGATGACGCGGCGTGGTCCAAGGAAGACGTTGCTCTTTGCGCTTCTCGCAGCTGCAAATCCGGCAACTTGTTTTTTGTTTTCTGTTTGTGAGTTCCTTTTTTGACAGAATCCGGTAGACTTGGTTGTTTCGCGTCCGTGTCACCTGAGTTATCCGAGGTTTGCGGGTGCGGCTGCGGTTGCGGTTGCAGCTGTGGATGCGCATGCTCATGTGGGTGTTGTTGCTGAGCGAGGCTTGTGTCTGCCACTTCTTCGGACTGGTTTTCTGCAGTTTTTCTGCAGAGCTGCAGCAGTTACCCGCTGTGGAAGGGTGTTTTGAGGCTCCACAACAAGCCATAGCCTTGTTTGGCCTCGCATATCAAACCTTTCGAAAACAGTACTTTCAATGTTCCACTTGCTTGGCAGAAGTTTCAACTCTGCAGTTTCAAAAATCTTGCAGCATCCTGCCTGGTATCCCCGCAGATGCCAGCAGTGATCTGGAGTGTTGTTCCGGTCCCAGTTCCGCAAAAGAAGTGTCAACCGCGCGAGGTTTTGCTACATGTAGCGACATCCGAGTCTTGAAGCATTGCCTGGTTGTCCACCTGCCATCGTGCGATCTGCTCATCCTCGACAGGCTGTTGTATGTAGTTGTATGTAGTTGTATGTAGTTGTATGTAGTTGTATGTAGTTGTATGTAGTTGTATGTAGTTGTATGTAGTTGTATGTAGTTGTATGTAGCTGTAGTTGTATGTAGTTGTATGCAGTTGTATGTAGTTGTATGTAGTTGTATGTAGTTGTATGTAGTTGTATGTAGTTGTATGTAGTTGTATGTAGTTGTATGTAGTTGTATGTAGTGTAGTTGTATGTAGTTGTATGTAGTTGTATGTAGTTGTATGTAGTTGTATGTAGTTGTATGTAGTTGTATGTAGTTGTATGTAGTTGTATGTAGTTGTATGTAGTTGTATGTAGTTGTATGTAGCTGTAGTTGTATGTAGTTGTATGTAGTTGTATGTAGTTGTATGTAGTTGTATGTAGTTGTATGTAGTTGTATGTAGTTGTATGTAGTTGTATGTAGTTGTATGTAGCTGTAGTTGTATGTAGTTGTATGCAGTTGTATGTAGTTGTATGTAGGTGGATGTAGTTGTAGTCTTCCAGCCCTGGGTTCGCAGCAGCGTGCTAGCGTGTGCTAGCTGTGTTGGCAGCCATGTCAGAGCGTTTTCACTTCAGCAGGGGACTTAACGGACTCAACGCTGGAAGTCAACATTACCTCCAGCCTGGCAATTCCAGGGCCCAATTCACGATTTGCGCTGGAACCTCGGTAGATGTGATCGATCTCGTTCCGGCTCAGCCTGGCTCAAGAGCAAGATTGCTGTAGTCACCTTCCTCTCACCTACCGCCAATCCACCTTGGATTGACATTGCCATGAAGCCCGCGTGCGTTGTGGCTTTCTTGTTTGCTTTGGCTTTCAAGGCCGGGGTGTCTGCCGACACCCTTCGGGTCGACGCCGGAACAGACGTCGCGGATGCCGGAGGAGCGGAAACCGCGGAAGCGTGCCAGTCTGGGAGCCTGATCCAACGCCTGAGCTCATCCCATAAGGTGCTGTCCGACACGGAGGCGATGCCAGCGGAGTCCCTCAAGAAGACACCAGAGATCAAGGAGAAGAAGAAGAAGATGATGAAGAAGCAAAAGTCGGACAAGAAACACTCGGATTTCATGGCCTTTCTCGCCGAGGCAAAAAAGGATGGGCCTGGGCACCCTGAGGGCTCTGAGTGCGAGCCGGCAGGAGCCCTGCCTGCGTCACGCGTTGTGTGCGACTTTCGCATGCCGCCTCGGCCCAGTTCCTTTTGACTTGCTGCCCGTTGCACGTACCCCTGCCAGGAGCTCCGCTATTGGGCGAGAACAGGGCAAAGTTCGAGCTGCTTTCGCAAAAGGTCTCCGCCCTCGACCTGGACCCTGTCCTCGCCCGCCTTGTCAAGAAGAACGATTACGCGCCCAAGCTTGCGAAGAGGGCCGCTGATGAGTACCGGAAGTTCCTTGTCTTGATGGGCATGGGGGAGACACCGATCGCCTCCCATATGGTTCTCGACGCCTGGCATTCAAACATCATGCCGCCAGTCCGAAATATTGGCGCGCTTCTTCTTGTTTCTAGCACTTTCTAGCCGTCGCCAGGTGGGTGGCTCCATGTTTCAGTGGGAGTCGGGGCTCTGGTGTTTCTCCTGCTAGCAGGTGCCTGTAATTTCGCGCGAGACCAGGTACACGAAGATGTACGAGCGGGACTGCCAGGAGGTATTTGGCCACCAGCTGGAACATGACCCCCTTGGTCAGCAATTGGAAGAAAGTCGCCTGAAGCAGACGCAGCAGCAGATCTGTGATTACTTCGGCATGGTTGACCGACTTGTGTGGTCGGCAGCAAAGCCAGCTGCTCTCTCGGAGAGCAGGGACCCTTCTGACACAGCGGCCATCATGGATCAGTGGCTGGACCACATCAACGAGGAGGTTGAACTCCGCAAAGGTCTCCTGGCAGAGAACGTCCACGTGATGGTGGCTTCACAGCACACCAACACGGCCGTGACGCACACGGGCCTCGAGAACGCTCTGTCCTTCTTCCACCACTACAGCCATGCCACCAGAGCCCGGAAGTTCCTGTCCGTGGACCACGAGGCCTTTGCCATCGAGATTGAGAAGGGCAAGCGCATGGGGGCCGACATCTTCGAGGTGGACTCCGAGGGGAAGATTCTGGACGTGAAGATCTTCATGGCCACCCTTTTCAAGGACGTAGACGACCTCAACGACGCAGGGCTCGAGAATCTCACCTTGCACTACACGGGCAACGGATCCATGGCCAGGAACACTTACCCCCTACAAGCCAGGATCTCAGTGGTGCTGTAGTGCAGAGTGTGAGACTGCAGCGAGTAGGAGCGCGTAACGGCGTAGCAGGGAAACGTAAGCCATCGTAAGCATAGCTAGAGCCCTTGAAGCTTGTGAAGGCTTCGCTGGAAGCTTCGCGCTGTCGGCTAGCGCAGATTTACAGTGAGAGAACGCTTAGGCGATGGTTCAAGTCGGGGAGGCAGGCGTCGCTTTGACCAAAGCCGCCATGGAGACGTGGATGCTCAATTTCAACAACAACGCAGCTGAGAAGCACGACCTTCTGGCGGCCGACGTGCGCCTGACGCATATGTCGCAAGTGACCGATGCGCCTGAAACTCGTGACGGGAAGGCTGAAGTGATAGACTTCTTCCGCGACTTCGAAAATGCCACTGGGGCTCGAGAGTTCCTTTCCGTGGACGGAGGCGCCTTCATGATCGAGAACAAGGGCAATAACCTCCACCCCCGGATGGGACTCTTGATTTTCGAGGTGAACCCCGAAGGCAAGATCCAAGACATCAAGATTTGGGTGGCCTCCCTGCAGGGGGACAGAGACGACTTGAGCGACAGCGGCCTGACTAGCGTCGCGCCGTCGCTACTGGACTCACGCGGAGAGGGGGCCTCGGTTTCGGGTGCCTTGGCCAGCCGCTTGCTGTATTTTTTTTTTTTTTTTTCCGAGGGTGCTTCGTGTAGAGGCTTGGCGCTGTCTTGCGCATTCTTGCGGTCAGACTTGCTGTAGACTTGCGTTCAGAGTTCGGAGCTCCAGGCGCGACTGAGCCTGCTGTGTGCCAGCAATCCGGCAGCCGACCATCGCTGCAGCAGATGCAGCGGTTCAACGCGTCGGTTGAAAAGGTGAAAGCGCTGGACCTGGATGCTGTCGTGGCAGTTCTCGTGAAGAAGGACGGCTACTCGCCCACGAAGGCAGCAGAGCTCGCGGAGGAATACCGCAAGTACCTGGCCCTGGTGAGCATCGGTCTCAGCCCCGTGCCGTCGAAGAAGGTGGATGATGCATGGCACGCCCACATCCTAAACACCAAAAAGTACCAGGCAGACACCCGCGCTCTGTTGGGCCACTTCCTCCATCACGAGCCGGCGAACCTTCTCCTGGAGCAGCAGGGCCTCAAAGAGCAGAAATCGTCCATGGACAACATGTTCTTGCGCACCAAGATGCAGCTCTGCGACTACTATGGCCGCGTCGATGAAGCGGCGTGGTCCAAGGAAGACGTTGCTCTTTGCGCTTCTCGCAGCTGCAAATCTGGCAACCGTTTTTTTGTGTTTTTTTCTGTTTGTGAGTTCCTTTTTTGACAGAATCCGGTAGACTTGGTTGCTTTGCGTCCGTGTCACCTGAGCTATCCCAGTTGTGCGGGTGCTCCTGCGGTTGCGGTTGCAGCTGTGGATGCGCATGCTCATGTGGGTGTTGTTGCTGAGCGAGGCTTGTGTCTGCCACTTCTTCGGACTGGCTTTCTGCAGTTTTTCTGCAGAGCTGCGGCATTTACCCGGTGAAAGGGTGTTTTGAGGCTCCACAGCAAGCCATAGTTTGGTTTGGCCTCGCATATCAACCTTTCCAAAACAGTACTTTCAATGCTCCACTTGCTTGGCAGAAGTTTCAACTCCGCAGTTTCAAAAATCTTGCAGCATCCTGCCTGGTATCCCCGCAGATGCCAGCAGGGATCTGCAGTGTTGTTCCGGTCCCAGTTCCGCAAAAGAAGTGCCAACCGCGCGAGGTTTTGCTACAGCGACATCCGAGTCTTGAAGCGTTGCCTGTTTGTTCATTTTGCTGCCATCGTGCGATCTGCTCATCCTCAACAGGCTGGTTGTATGTAGTTGTATGTAGTTGTAGTCTTTCAGCCCCTGGGTTCGCACGTTGCAGCATGAACCTGGAGAGCAGCGTGCTAGCGTGTGCTAGCTGTGTTGGCAGCCATGTCAGAGCGTTTTCACTTCAGCAGGAGACTTAACGGACTCAACGCTGGAAGTCAACATTACCTCCAGCCTGGCATTTCCAGGCCCAATTCACGATTTGCTGGAATCTCGGTAGATGTGGTCGATCTCGTTCCGGCTTAGCCTGGCTCAAGAGCAAGATTGCTGTAGTCACCTTCCTCTCACCTACCGCCAGTCCACCTTGGATTGACATTGCCATGAAGCCCTCGTGCGTTGTGGCCTTCTTGTTTGCTTTGGCTTTCAAGGCCGGTGTGTCTGCCGACACCCTTCGGGTCGACGCCGGAACAGACGTCGCGGATGCCGGAGGAACGGAAACCGCGGAAGCGTGCCAGTCTGGGAGCCTGATCCAACGCCTGAGCTCATCCCATAAGGTGCTGTCCGACACGGAGGCGATGCCAGCGGAGTCCCTCAAGACACCAGAGATCAAGGAGAAGAAGAAGAAGAAGAAGAAGATGATGAAGAAGCAAAAGTCGGACAAGAAACACGCGGATTTCATGGCCTTTCTCGCCGAGGCAAAAAAGGATGGGCCTGGGCATCCCGAGGGCTCTGAGTGCGAGCCGGCAGGAGCTCTGCCTGCGTCACGCGTTGTGTGCGACTTTCTGACTTTCGCATGCCGCCTCGGCCCAGTTCCTTTTGACTTGCTGCGCGTTGCACGTACCCCTGCCAGGAGCTCCGCTATTGGGCGAGAACAGGGCAAAGTTCGAGCTGCTTTCGCAGAAGGTCTCCGCCCTCGACCTGGACCCTGTCCTCGCCCGCCTTGTCAAGAAGAACGATTACGCGCCCAAGCTTGCGAAGAGGGCCGCTGATGAGTACCGGAAGTTCCTTGTCTTGATGGGCATGGGGGAGACACCGATCGCCTCCCATATGGTTCTCGACGCCTGGCATTCACACATCATGCCGCCAGTCCGAAATATTGGCGCACTTTTTGTTGTTTCTAGCACTTTCTAGCCGTCGCCAGGTGGGTGGCTCCATGTTTCAGTGGGAGTCGGGGCTCTGGTGTTTCTCCTGCTAGCAGGTGCCTGTAATTTCGCGCGAGACCAGGTACACGAAGATGTACGAGCGGGACTGCCAGGAGGTATTTGGCCACCAGCTGGAGCATGACCCCCTTGGTCAGCAATTGGAAGAAAGTCGCCTGAAGCAGACGCAGCAGCAGATCTGTGATTACTTCGGCATGGTTGACCGACTTGTGTGGTCGGCAGCAAAGCCAGCTGCTCTCTCGGAGAGCACGGACCCTTCTGACACAGCGGCCATCATGGATCAGTGGCTGGACCACATCAACGAGGAGGTTGAACTCCGCAAAGGTCTCCTGGCAGAGAACGTCCACGTGATGGTGGCTTCACAGCACACCAACACGGCCGTGACGCACACGGGCCTCGAGAACGCTCTGTCCTTCTTCCACCACTACAGCCATGCCACCAGAGCCCGGAAGTTCCTGTCCGTGGACCACGAGGCCTTTGCCATCGAGATTGAGAAGGGCAAGCGCATGGGGGCCGACATCTTCGAGGTGGACTCCGAGGGGAAGATTCTGGACGTGAAGATCTTCATGGCCACCCTTTTCAAGGACGTAGACGACCTCAACGACGCAGGGCTCGAGAATCTCACCTTGCACTACACAGGCAACGGATCCATGGCCAGGAACACTTACCCCCTACAAGCCAGGATCTCAGTGGTGCTGTAGTGCAGAGTGCGACACTGCAGCGAGTAGGAGCGCGTAACGGCGTAGCAGGGAAACGTAAGCCATCGTAAGCATAGCTAGAGCCCTTGAAGCTTGTGAAGGCTTCGCTGGAAGCTTCGCGCTGTCGGCTAGCGCAGATTTACAGTGAGAGAACGCTTAGGCGATGGTCCAAGTCGGGGAGGCAGGCGTCGCTTTGACCAAAGCCGCCATGGAGACGTGGATGCTCAATTTCAACAACAACGCAGCTGAGAAGCACGACCTTCTGGCGGCCGACGTGCGCCTGACGCATATGTCGCAAGTGACCGATGCGCCTGAAACTCGTGACGGGAAGGCTGAAGTGATAGACTTCTTCCGCGACTTCGAAAATGCCACTGGGGCTCGAGAGTTCCTTTCCGTGGACGGAGGCGCCTTCATGATCGAGAACAAGGGCAATAACCTCCACCCCCGGATGGGACTCTTGATTTTCGAGGTGAACCCCGAAGGCAAGATCCAAGACATCAAGATTTGGGTGGCCTCCCTGCAGGGGGACAGAGACGACTTGAGCGACAGCGGCCTGACTAGCGTCGCGCCGTCGCTACTGGACTCACGCGGAGAGGGGGCCTCGGTTTCGGGTGCCTTGGCCAGCCGCTTGCTGTATTTTTTTTTTTTTTTTCCGAGGGTGCTTCGTGTAGAGGCTTGGCGCTGTCTTGCGCATTCTTGCGGTCAGACTTGCTGTAGACTTGCGTTCAGAGTTCGGAGCTCCAGGCGCGACTGAGCCTGCTGTGTGCCAGCAATCCGGCAGCCGACCATCGCTGCAGCAGATGCAGCGGTTCAACGCGTCGGTTGAAAAGGTGAAAGCGCTGGACCTGGATGCTGTCGTGGCAGTTCTCGTGAAGAAGGACGGCTACTCGCCCACGAAGGCAGCAGAGCTCGCGGAGGAATACCGCAAGTACCTGGCCCTGGTGAGCATCGGTCTCAGCCCCGTGCCGTCGAAGAAGGTGGATGATGCATGGCACGCCCACATCCTAAACACCAAAAAGTACCAGGCAGACACCCGCGCTCTGTTGGGCCACTTCCTCCATCACGAGCCGGCGAACCTTCTCTTGGAGCAGCAGGGCCTCAAAGAGCAGAAATCGTCCATGGACAACATGTTCTTGCGCACCAAGATGCAGCTCTGCGACTACTATGGCCGCGTCGATGAAGCGGCGTGGTCCAAGGAAGACGTTGCTCTTTGCGCTTCTCGCAGCTGCAAATCTGGCAACCTTTTTTGTGTGTTTTTTTTCTGTTTGTGAGTTCCTTTTTTGACAGAATCCGGTAGACTTGGTTGCTTTGCGTCCGTGTCACCTGAGCTATCCCAGTTGTGCGGGTGCTCCTGCGGTTGCGGTTGCAGCTGTGGATGCGCATGCTCATGTGGGTGTTGTTGCTGAGCGAGGCTTGTGTCTGCCACTTCTTCGGACTGGCTTTCTGCAGTTTTTCTGCAGAGCTGCGGCATTTACCCGGTGAAAGGGTGTTTTGAGGCTCCACAGCAAGCCATAGTTTGGTTTGGCCTCGCATATCAACCTTTCCAAAACAGTACTTTCAATGCTCCACTTGCTTGGCAGAAGTTTCAACTCCGCAGTTTCAAAAATCTTGCAGCATCCTGCCTGGTATCCCCGCAGATGCCAGCAGGGATCTGCAGTGTTGTTCCGGTCCCAGTTCCGCAAAAGAAGTGCCAACCGCGCGAGGTTTTGCTACAGCGACATCCGAGTCTTGAAGCGTTGCCTGTTTGTTCATTTTGCTGCCATCGTGCGATCTGCTCATCCTCAACAGGCTGGTTGTATGTAGTTGTATGTAGTTGTAGTCTTTCAGCCCCTGGGTTCGCACGTTGCAGCATGAACCTGGAGAGCAGCGTGCTAGCGTGTGCTAGCTGTGTTGGCAGCCATGTCAGAGCGTTTTCACTTCAGCAGGAGACTTAACGGACTCAACGCTGGAAGTCAACATTACCTCCAGCCTGGCATTTCCAGGCCCAATTCACGATTTGCTGGAATCTCGGTAGATGTGGTCGATCTCGTTCCGGCTCAGCCTGGCTCAAGAGCAAGATTGCTGTAGTCACCTTCCTCTCACCTACCGCCAGTCCACCTTGGATTGACATTGCCATGAAGCCCTCGTGCGTTGTGGCCTTCTTGTTTGCTTTGGCTTTCAAGGCCGGTGTGTCTGCCGACACCCTTCGGGTCGACGCCGGAACAGACGTCGCGGATGCCGGAGGAACGGAAACCGCGGAAGCGTGCCAGTCTGGGAGCCTGATCCAACGCCTGAGCTCATCCCATAAGGTGCTGTCCGACACGGAGGCGATGCCAGCGGAGTCCCTCAAGACACCAGAGATCAAGGAGAAGAAGAAGAAGAAGATGATGAAGAAGCAAAAGTCGGACAAGAAACACGCGGATTTCATGGCCTTTCTCGCCGAGGCAAAAAAGGATGGGCCTGGGCATCCCGAGGGCTCTGAGTGCGAGCCGGCAGGAGCTCTGCCTGCGTCACGCGTTGTGTGCGACTTTCGCATGCCGCCTCGGCCCAGTTCCTTTTGACTTGCTGCGCGTTGCACGTACCCCTGCCAGGAGCTCCGCTATTGGGCGAGAACAGGGCAAAGTTCGAGCTGCTTTCGCAGAAGGTCTCCGCCCTCGACCTGGACCCTGTCCTCGCCCGCCTTGTCAAGAAGAACGATTACGCGCCCAAGCTTGCGAAGAGGGCCGCTGATGAGTACCGGAAGTTCCTTGTCTTGATGGGCATGGGGGAGACACCGATCGCCTCCCATATGGTTCTCGACGCCTGGCATTCACACATCATGCCGCCAGTCCGAAATATTGGCGCACTTTTTGTTGTTTCTAGCACTTTCTAGCCGTCGCCAGGTGGGTGGCTCCATGTTTCAGTGGGAGTCGGGGCTCTGGTGTTTCTCCTGCTAGCAGGTGCCTGTAATTTCGCGCGAGACCAGGTACACGAAGATGTACGAGCGGGACTGCCAGGAGGTATTTGGCCACCAGCTGGAGCATGACCCCCTTGGTCAGCAATTGGAAGAAAGTCGCCTGAAGCAGACGCAGCAGCAGATCTGTGATTACTTCGGCATGGTTGACCGACTTGTGTGGTCGGCAGCAAAGCCAGCTGCTCTCTCGGAGAGCACGGACCCTTCTGACACAGCGGCCATCATGGATCAGTGGCTGGACCACATCAACGAGGAGGTTGAACTCCGCAAAGGTCTCCTGGCAGAGAACGTCCACGTGATGGTGGCTTCACAGCACACCAACACGGCCGTGACGCACACGGGCCTCGAGAACGCTCTGTCCTTCTTCCACCACTACAGCCATGCCACCAGAGCCCGGAAGTTCCTGTCCGTGGACCACGAGGCCTTTGCCATCGAGATTGAGAAGGGCAAGCGCATGGGGGCCGACATCTTCGAGGTGGACTCCGAGGGGAAGATTCTGGACGTGAAGATCTTCATGGCCACCCTTTTCAAGGACGTAGACGACCTCAACGACGCAGGGCTCGAGAATCTCACCTTGCACTACACAGGCAACGGATCCATGGCCAGGAACACTTACCCCCTACAAGCCAGGATCTCAGTGGTGCTGTAGTGCAGAGTGCGACACTGCAGCGAGTAGGAGCGCGTAACGGCGTAGCAGGGAAACGTAAGCCATCGTAAGCATAGCTAGAGCCCTTGAAGCTTGTGAAGGCTTCGCTGGAAGCTTCGCGCTGTCGGCTAGCGCAGATTTACAGTGAGAGAACGCTTAGGCGATGGTTCAAGTCGGGGAGGCAGGCGTCGCTTTGACCAAAGCCGCCATGGAGACGTGGATGCTCAATTTCAACAACAACGCAGCTGAGAAGCACGACCTTCTGGCGGCCGACGTGCGCCTGACGCATATGTCGCAAGTGACCGATGCGCCTGAAACTCGTGACGGGAAGGCTGAAGTGATAGACTTCTTCCGCGACTTCGAAAATGCCACTGGGGCTCGAGAGTTCCTTTCCGTGGACGGAGGCGCCTTCATGATCGAGAACAAGGGCAATAACCTCCACCCCCGGATGGGACTCTTGATTTTCGAGGTGAACCCCGAAGGCAAGATCCAAGACATCAAGATTTGGGTGGCCTCCCTGCAGGGGGACAGAGACGACTTGAGCGACAGCGGCCTGACTAGCGTCGCGCCGTCGCTACTGGACTCACGCGGAGAGGGGGCCTCGGTTTCGGGTGCCTTGGCCAGCCGCTTGCTGTATTTTTTTTTTTTTTCCGAGGGTGCTTCGTGTAGAGGCTTGGTGCTGTCTTGCGCATTCTTGCGGTCAGACTTGCTGTAGACTTGCGTTCAGAGTTCGGAGCTCCAGGCGCGACTGAGCCTGCTGTGTGCCAGCAATCCGGCAGCCGACCATCGCTGCAGCAGATGCAGCGGTTCAACGCGTCGGTTGAAAAGGTGAAAGCGCTGGACCTGGATGCTGTCGTGGCAGTTCTCGTGAAGAAGGACGGCTACTCGCCCACGAAGGCAGCAGAGCTCGCGGAGGAATACCGCAAGTACCTGGCCCTGGTGAGCATCGGTCTCAGCCCCGTGCCGTCGAAGAAGGTGGATGATGCATGGCACGCCCACATCCTAAACACCAAAAAGTACCAGGCAGACACCCGCGCTCTGTTGGGCCACTTCCTCCATCACGAGCCGGCGAACCTTCTCCTGGAGCAGCAGGGCCTCAAAGAGCAGAAATCGTCCATGGACAACATGTTCTTGCGCACCAAGATGCAGCTCTGCGACTACTATGGCCGCGTCGATGAAGCGGCGTGGTCCAAGGAAGACGTTGCTCTTTGCGCTTCTCGCAGCTGCAAATCTGGCAACCGTTTTTTTGTGTTTTTTTCTGTTTGTGAGTTCCTTTTTTGACAGAATCCGGTAGACTTGGTTGCTTTGCGTCCGTGTCACCTGAGCTATCCCAGTTGTGCGGGTGCTCCTGCGGTTGTGGTTGCAGCTGTGGATGCGCATGCTCATGTGGGTGTTGTTGCTGAGCGAGGCTTGTGTCTGCCACTTCTTCGGACTGGCTTTCTGCAGTTTTTCTGCAGAGCTGCGGCATTTACCCGGTGAAAGGGTGTTTTGAGGCTCCACAGCAAGCCATAGTTTGGTTTGGCCTCGCATATCAACCTTTCAAAAACAGTACTTTCAATGCTCCACTTGCTTGGCAGAAGTTTCAACTCCGCAGTTTCAAAAATCTTGCAGCATCCTGCCTGGCATCCCCGCAGATGCCAGCAGGGATCTGCAGTGTTGTTCCGGTCCCAGTTCCGCAAAAGAAGTGCCAACCGCGCGAGGTTTTGCTACAGCGACATCCGAGTCTTGAAGCATTGCCTGTTGGTTCATCTTGCTGCCATCGTGCGATCTGCTCATCCTCAACAGGCTGGTTGTATGTAGTTGTATGTAGTTGTGGGCATGGTCTTTTGGGCGGGCGGGCCCGTGGGCCCGTGGCCCGTGGGCCCGTGGGCCCGTGGGCCCGTGGGCCCGTGAGCCCGTGAGCCCGTGCACGGGCCTGGACCTTGCCAAAACAAAACCTTGAAACACTAAGTCTTGAAACAAAGCCCCGCCCGCCTTGAAATACTAAGTCGTGAAATCCAAAGAATCCTAAAGCCTAACCCTGAAGCCTACAATCTTAAAAGCCTAAAACCTCAACTCTACTCCTAAGACTGTGAGCCTCTGGTATGTGGCAATGCAAGACTATTACAAGCTTTGGCATCATCGAGTGTAAATGGAACATGTCAGGCTTGCGTTTCCTAAGCTGCGGGGGTTCAGGACAAGGCGTTGGAAGAGTTACTTGATCCGAAGCAAACGCAAACCCAAGGTCTTGAAGCCTTGTTCTCAAAACCTAAGCCCTACTCAAACCAAGATCTTGAAACCTATAGCCACTAAACCTTAACCCTTAAACTAACCCTGCAAATCCTAAAGTCCCCAAGCCCCTACTTCGCAAAAGCTTTCTTTAAAGCTCTAATCACCGCAGTCGCTAGCCAAAGACCCACCTCTCCCTTGGAATACTAAATCTTGTAACAAAGCTCTAACCCCCCTTGAAATACTGAGCAAAGAATCCTAAAGCCTAACCCTGAAGCCTGCAATCTTAAAAGCCTACAGCCTCAACTCTACTCCTAAGAATGTGAGCCTCTGGCATGTGGCACTGCAATACTATTACAAGCTCTGGCATCATTGCGTGTAGATGGAACATGTCAAGCTTGTGTTTTCTAAGCTGCGGGGGTTAAGGACAAGGCGAAATCCTAAAGTCCCCAAGCCCCTACTTCGCAAAGCTTCTTTCAAGCTTTAATCACCGCAGTCGCTAGCCAAAGACCCACCCCTCCCTTTTGGAATACTAAATCTTGAATCAAAGCCCTAACCCCCCTTGAAATACTAAGCAAAGAATCCTAAAGCCTAACCCTGAAGCCTGCAATCTGAAAAGCCTACAGCCTCAACTCTACTCCTAAGAATGTGAGCCTCTGGCATGTGGCACTGCAATACTATTACAAGCTCTGGCATCATTGTAGATGGAACATGTCAAGCTTGCGTTTTCTAAGCTGCGGGGGTTAAGGACAAGGCGAAATCCTAAAGTCCCCAAGCCCCTACTTCGCAAAGCTTCTTTCAAGCTTTAATCACCGCAGTCGCTAGCCAAAGACCCACCTCTCCCTTGGAATACTAAATCTTGAAACAAAGCCCTAACCCCCCTTGAAATACTAAGCAAAGAATCCTAAAGCCTAACCCTGAAGCCTGCAATCTTAAAAGCCTACAGCCTCAACTCAACTCCTAAGAATGTGAGCCTCTGGCATGTGGCACTGCAATACTATTACAATCTCTGGCGTCATTGCGTGTAGATGGAACGTGTCAAGCTTGCGTTTTCTAAGCTGCGGGGGTTAAGGGCGAGGCGTTGGAAGATTTATACTTGATCCGAAGCAAACGCAAAACCCAAGGTCTTGAAGCCTTGTTCTCAAAACCTAAGCCCTACTCAAACCAAGATCCTGAAACCTATAGCCACAAAACCTTAACCCTTAAATTCAACCCTAAAACCCTAACCCTGCAAATCCTAAAGTCCCCAAGCCCCTACTTCGCAAAGCTTCTTTAAAACTCTAATCACCGCAGTTGCTAGCGCAAAACCCACCTCTCCTTTGAAATACTAAATCTTGAACAAAGCCCTAACCCCCTTGAAATACTAAGTCGTGAAATCCAAAGAATCCTAAAGCCTAACCTGAAGCCTGCAATCTTAAACGCCTAAAGCCTCAACTCTACTCCTAAGAACGTGAGCCTCTGGTATGTGGCAATGCAAGACTGTTACAAGCTCTGGCAACATCGCGTGTAAATGGAACATGTCAGGCTTGCGTTTCCTAAGGACAAGGCGTTGGAAGATTTACTTGATCCGAAGCAAACGCAAACCCAAGGTCTTGAAGCCTTGTTCTCAAAACCTAAGCCCTATTCAAGCCAAGATCCCAAGCTTCTGGAGCCTTAGAACGTTATAAACCCGCAATTCCGGGCGCTTTGACTGACTGCGGCAGTTTTGTTTGTATGAGCCATGATGTGGACATGCGTCCGAGCCCATGCTACATCCGACGCCATAGCGGTCCCACAGTGTCTCCCGGACGATACTCAGCCTAAACTGTAAACCTTTCATCCTAAACCCTATAGCCCTCATCCCCGAACCCGAAAGACCTTCTTCAAAGCTGTAATCACCGCAACAGCACCGATTTTCTCCCCAAACCCGAACGCTTTCTAAGTCTGGGTATGGGTTTGAGGCGTTCTCGAGCAGGGTTTTCGCGAAGTTGCCTTGTCAAGCGACCTTTGTGACAATTTGAGAGTGGTAGACGACAAGGTGGGGAGCGGGATTAAACCGGCAGCAAAGATTTTGGGTGGTCAGGATAGCGTAGAGCGATAGGCAGAAGTTATAATTGATAGTAACGACATTACAAGCCTGGGCTGTGGGCCCGTGGGCCCGTGGGGCCCGTGGGCCCGTGGGCCCGTGGCCCGTGGGCCCGTGGGCCCGTTGATCTTCTTTAAAGAGGCCTGCCCGTGGAACAGGGTATTCTCGTAGTTGTAGTCTTTCAGCCCCTGGGTTCGCACGTTGCAGCATGAACCTGGAGAGCAGCGTGCTAGCGTGTGCTAGCTGTGTTGGCAGCCATGTCAGAGTGTTTTCACTTCAGCAGGGGACTTAACGGACTCAACGCTGGAAGTCAACATTACCTCCAGCCTGGCAATTCCAGGGCCCAATTCACGATTTGCGCTGGAACCTCGGTAGATGTGATCGATCTCGTTCCGGCTCAGCCTGGCTCAAGAGCAAGATTGCTGTAGTCACCTTCCTCTCACCTACCGCCAATCCACCTTGGATTGACATTGCCATGAAGCCCGCGTGCGTTGTGGCTTTCTTGTTTGCTTTGGCTTTCAAGGCCGGGGTGTCTGCCGACACCCTTCGGGTCGACGCCGGAACAGACGTCGCGGATGCCGGAGGAGCGGAAACCGCGGAAGCGTGCCAGTCTGGGAGCCTGATCCAACGCCTGAGCTCATCCCATAAGGTGCTGTCCGACACGGAGGCGATGCCAGCGGAGTCCCTCAAGAAGACACCAGAGATCAAGGAGAAGAAGAAGAAGATGATGAAGAAGCAAAAGTCGGACAAGAAACACTCGGATTTCATGGCCTTTCTCGCCGAGGCAAAAAAGGATGGGCCTGGGCACCCTGAGGGCTCTGAGTGCGAGCCGGCAGGAGCCCTGCCTGCGTCACGCGTTGTGTGCGACTTTCGCATGCCGCCTCGGCCCAGTTCCTTTTGACTTGCTGCGCGTTGCACGTACCCCTGCCAGGAGCTCCGCTATTGGGCGAGAACAGGGCAAAGTTCGAGCTGCTTTCGCAAAAGGTCTCCGCCCTCGACCTGGACCCTGTCCTCGCCCGCCTTGTCAAGAAGAACGATTACGCGCCCAAGCTTGCGAAGAGGGCCGCTGATGAGTACCGGAAGTTCCTTGTCTTGATGGGCATGGGGGAGACACCGATCGCCTCCCATATGGTTCTCGACGCCTGGCATTCACACATCATGCCGCCAGTCCGAAATATTGGCGCGCTTCTTGTTGTTTCTAGCACTTTCTAGCCGTCGCCAGGTGGGTGGCTCCATGTTTCAGTGGGAGTCGGGGCTCTGGTGTTTCTCCTGCTAGCAGGTGCCTGTAATTTCGCGCGAGACCAGGTACACGAAGATGTACGAGCGGGACTGCCAGGAGGTATTTGGCCACCAGCTGGAACATGACCCCCTTGGTCAGCAATTGGAAGAAAGTCGCCTGAAGCAGACGCAGCAGCAGATCTGTGATTACTTCGGCATGGTTGACCGACTTGTGTGGTCGGCAGCAAAGCCAGCTGCTCTCTCGGAGAGCACGGACCCTTCTGACACAGCGGCCATCATGGATCAGTGGCTGGACCACATCAACGAGGAGGTTGAACTCCGCAAAGGTCTCCTGGCAGAGAACGTCCACGTGATGGTGGCTTCACAGCACACCAACACGGCCGTGACGCACACGGGCCTCGAGAACGCTCTGTCCTTCTTCCACCACTACAGCCATGCCACCAGAGCCCGGAAGTTCCTGTCCGTGGACCACGAGGCCTTTGCCATCGAGATTGAGAAGGGCAAGCGCATGGGGGCCGACATCTTCGAGGTGGACTCCGAGGGGAAGATTCTGGACGTGAAGATCTTCATGGCCACCCTTTTCAAGGACGTAGACGACCTCAACGACGCAGGGCTCGAGAATCTCACCTTGCACTACACAGGCAACGGATCCATGGCCAGGAACACTTACCCCCTACAAGCCAGGATCTCAGTGGTGCTGTAGTGCAGAGTGCGACACTGCAGCGAGTAGGAGCGCGTAACGGCGTAGCAGGGAAACGTAAGCCATCGTAAGCATAGCTAGAGCCCTTGAAGCTTGTGAAGGCTTCGCTGGAAGCTTCGCGCTGTCGGCTAGCGCAGATTTACAGTGAGAGAACGCTTAGGCGAT